AGAGAGAGAGAGAGAGAGAGAGAGAGAGAGAGAGAGAGAGAGAGAGAGAGAGAGAGAGAGGCATTTGACACACTACATACAGGGGTACATCCGCACCGACATGCACAAGTGCCCACTTACATAGATAGCCCAACCGATACGTGCTTCCTTCTTCTAGCGCCATGTCTGAGCGCTTTTTAAACTAAAGGTTCGATATCCGGACGGAAGATTTGGCATGTGTCGAACAGCTGACGACTGCACTGACCTGTCCGGTGGACTGACAAAAAGTCTGACAGAAAAAAAGGACTCAGGGCGTCTTCTGAACCGTGCAATCATGCGATTCATCTATGGTTATTCTATATTGAAAGCCAGTGAGGAAATGGAGGAGGAGGGGGGGGGGGGAGAAGAAGAGAAAGGAAATGGAGGGGGGAAACAACTGACAGGACCTTTCATGCAGCATATGGGAATGAGCACCTGCACAGTGTAACACATATAACACACATTAAAAACATTAATAATTGGTTTCTAGCTTCACAGTAAGTTCACAGAAAGTTCACAGTAAGTCCAGAATAAGTGCAGAGTAAGTTCATAGACAGTTCTTAGATAGTTCATACTAACTTCATAGACAGTTCTTAGATAGTTCATACTAAGCTCATTGTAAGTTTATACTACTTTGTAGACTCTATGGAGATTGTAGATAGAGGTTTTGGATAGACTCGGTGAGGTTCAAGACTGAGGCTTCATATGAATACAAAAAGAATGGAACGCCTACGGTAACCTTGGTCAGCATGTTCCTAAGGGCATAGTAGGCATACATACACTGGGACTACTGGAAACGAATATTGCCGTAATTATGGCCAAATGCACCCGTGAAGTCCCTGTGTGAGTACACTGTAAGGCTGTCAAAATGAGCAAAACTATCCAAAATGCAAACAACTCCAAATGTGAAAAGCCGTTTTCATCGTCATATGTTTGGCAGGGAGCTGCATGAACATATGAGAGTATTTCTAGAGGGACGAGTATTTCTAATTTTCTAGCGAAGTCAACATTGTAAACAGAGCCTTCCATGAAAGCCACACTACAATCGCACAGCAGTGACAGCGCCTGTTGCATGGTGCACGGTTTTCCGTACTAATCACATATTGAATATTCGAAAAAAAAGATTACGTGTTTCCAAATAGCACCGAATGCAACTGTGCTGTTATCTAAATTTTCCTATTTTGGAAAGTTAAACCGAACAGCACCTGCGTCCGTGAGGAGACGGATGCAGCCAAAGTGAATGTACAATGACTGACGCGGAAGTTGAGGCCGAGCAGCACCTCTGCGCCCTTGGTGTGGAGATAGACACAGCTAGAACTGTGAATCTGGAGTTCGAAAACCGGACCTGGAATGTAACCGGGGACCTGGAACTGGCAATGGGACCGGTGTCGGTACCGGTGGGTCCCGAATAACATCCCGCCCGCCACTCGAGAGTCTGTATATAGCCAAATTGTAACACCGGGGTCTGGCCCTACACCGGGAAAGTGCAATGGTACCTTAAAACAGTTCCAAGATGGGACATGGACCACAGGAGGAGGACCTTGGGTATCCATCATCAGGTCCCACCTTGGGACTTCAAACTCATCAACACGGAGCTCAGAACAAGGACAAAACTTCGAAAATGCATCATGGGGATCGGAAAGCTTACCCTTGGAAATTGGGATGCGGGTGGGACCTGGGCCACCTGGCGCTTGAGAAACTTGAGAGCCGTGACCTCAGCGGCGAGGACCTTTGGCTCCTGGAGCTTACTTAGATTCTCTCTCTCCTCCACAAAGCCAAAGTGGACATGGAAACTCCCCATCGAAGACTCAGCGGCGAGAGGCGATTGTAAGAGCAAAAGCAACGGAACATGACGGCGGGGACTTCGAGATGAAGCTTGGACCCTGAAACTTAGGGGCTCGGGAAACTGGAGCTCGGGAACGGGACTTGGAACCTGGATCTTCGAACCGGGAACTAGATCTGTAAAATGGCTGCTGCGCAAAACGTGTTTGCTGAACTTTGCTCCCTTTTGCTGCAATGCTTACGCCTTCTTGATTGCTGCCTGATGTACGCACACAGCTCATAGCACAGAAGAAAAAAAAAAGAGTGGAACAGCGTCACACCACCCCTTCGACAGCTGTGAACATAGACCGTGTGCTGCTCACCGCCCGCCATTTCTCCTCCAAGATAGTGTCATGCGGATGCTTGGCAGCTCTTGCCTGAGCATGTTCCTCACGAAGCACCAATGCGCTCAACAAACAGGAGGAGGATTCAACCGAGCACATCACAGCCACATTTCTTCGCAGACTGCTCGAGCAGAAAGGTCTGGCCAGAATGGTTGGAGACACACGAAGAGACTCCAGATCGTAACTCGAAATGTGATACCTGGCGACTACCTGATTGGGAGTCATCCCGATCGAATTCAGCGAGTTTCCTCAGCGATTCGCCGGAGATGTCCGAACTGCTGCACTTTGTGCCTGGGCGCCGCTCGCAAGAGTAGAGTAAATCATACGCTTCCTTATGAATGAACTCGTTACGATAAAGTCGGAGGTTTGTGAATAATTTGCTGTTGACGTCATAGGACATCAGAAAAGATTCAGAAGGAATCATAATACATACCACTGCATATGCAGACTGGCAAGATTGGCAACCAACCACACAGCTGGCATTTTGTAATCAACAACACAAGACAGCAAAAAATGTCGCCTTACAGTTCCAGGAGGAATGGACGAACGTATTTCTCGATAGCGGTTGAGGCGCTCTCACTCAGTCTCTCAGTCTCTAGTCTGTTCCCTCTGCCCCTCTCTCACTCATCGACAGACAATAGTCATGGATGCACTTGACTTGTTAAATCTATCGTAGAGGGCGAAGGTGGTGAAACGCCGGTCAGATTTCCGGGCGGTCCTCTGCATGTCATCCATCTTATGCACGTCTTCCTAGAAAAGAAGCACAAAACCGGTTCTACCTGGCTGGCAATTCCACAATCGAATTGCTACCTACCTAGCCTACATCTTGGTCGATCAGGCCTACCTGCCGCTATGGTACCAGAGCGAGAGCGAGTGCGCGCGAGAGAGAGAGAGAGAGAGAGAGAGAGAGAGAGAGAGAGAGAGAGAGAGAGAGAGAGAGAGAGAGAGAGAGAGAGAGAGAGAGAGAGAGNGAGAGAGAGAGAGAGAGAGAGAGAGAGAGAGAGAGAGAGAAAGAGAGTTCACTTTTGCCAAAGAGATGGGGATGACTCCAGTTCAGGCCCAGCAAGAGCTGCATTGAAGGATGCCTTCAATTTGAATGTGAGCGTCATCATTAAAAAAAAAATGAAGGGAAGAGCAGGAGGCTAAAAGAGCACTATTGAGAGAATGCAAAATGCAGATTTTCCCAGTGAATGGGAAAATACGACCGTGCACGAAGGCCTGCCTGCCAAGCATGTCCTCAACGTGCTGGGCTCTTGGCCATCCTTCCCCTTATTATGCACTCGCATCGTCATTTCGCTTCTCTCCATAGTTCACGTTCGCTTACCCTATCAACTGGTGCAATCATGAAAGGCTGTGATGCCGGCATCGCCTCCTTCCGGTCCTCCCATTCCTGGGGCCCCTTGCATTCCTGCAACTCTCAGAGCAGAGGCCTCACACGCACCACCCTCGACGTCATTGGCAGCGATATGCTCCGATGATTCCAAACTGCTTCTTTGGCCGGCGGCAGGGAGCTGCTGACCAGAAAACCACACGATTTCTCGATGCTTCAAATCCCACCTCTCAAGGAGTTGCATCTCCTTTCTCTCGTCTTCTCGCTTGAGGTCCATGAATTCCTGGTGGTATCTTTTGTCGACCTCCTCAAAGTACCGATTCGCCTCGTCACGCAAAGCCCGAATCTGAGCTTCAACCTGTTCCAGTCGTTGCTTCTTCTTCTGAATCTTCTCAGATTCAAACTGCTGCTCGAGTCGCTTCAGCTTCCACTCCATCTCCTTCTTGTGATTAAACAACTCCTCCTTTATCCTTCCCAGATCCTGGACCAGCCCATGACAAATCTGCGAGGTAGCTTCCGGGTTCATGAATGTCTCGGCGTTGCTTCCTTCCCCTGGCTTGACTCCAGCACCGTGCCAACACTGAGGAGTCCCAGGCATACAAGCACCTGCAGCTGGCAGTCTGACCCCGGCGGAAGAACCCAGCTGAATCCCAATCCCGATGCCATTCGGGCAAGGAATGCATGGTGGTCCACAAAAGAGAGCGCCAAGCGTTGCTGAATTGGACGGGGGGGACGTCAGCTGTGAAGTCCCCGTCTGATGATGTTCGTGCTGTGGAAGAAGACTGCCCACCTGGTGCTGCAGCTGCTGCAGATTGTGACGATGACTATGCTCGTGACAATCATCGTGACGCAAACGATTGGCCGATAACCGGTGATCGCCATTTGCCATATCTGGGGTTGAGGTGCTCCCACCCTCCTTTGATGCAGGGCTGCAAGAGCCTCCTCCGCCCAGGCTCTTTGAGTTTGCTGTCTGTGTGGAGGGTGATTGGTCCTGGCCCTGGTTCTGATTGTCCTGACCCTCGCCATGCCCCCGTTCCTGGTCCGAACCCTGGTCCAAGGGCTTCGCCAACGGTTGAAAGGAGGATGCGTACTGACAACGAGAAGCAGGTGGTGCTCGCGAACTTGGTGTTTGTGGGGACGCGAGAGAGAGCGTTAGTGGCAGTGTTGGGCCTGGCGCAGTGGATGTGGATGAACTCGCACCAGAAGAGGACATCCATGCGGGTATGGGGGATGCTGGAGAGGAGACAGGTGTGCTTGGTGCAGGATAATGCGTCTCTAGACATCCTCTATCCTGGGCATCAACAACAGCGGGCAATCGATTCCTGTCACGGCCAGCTGTGGGAGCGGGCTGTTGTAAGTCAGCACCGTCCCCTTCGGTACCCTTGGCAGGCGAAGAAATAGATGGAATCCAAGAGGGCAGGGAAGAGGGCCCAGGAGTGATTACTCCTGCCCTTGGGTTCACCGCGGAGCGGACCGAATCTGGTTCAGAAGTTGGAGGTGATACGGACAAATGGCATGGCACTGCACCTGTTCCCCCATGTGATGACGAGTCGGCTCCAGGCGACGACGACATGAGGGGCAGGAGCTCGGTTCTTTGGTTGGGACATTGGTCATCGCGAAGAGCAGCGTTGGTTGAAGATTTGTCGCCAGACGTTTGAGGGGTGGAAAACTGCAGTACTGCTGGAGCAGTCGACGATAGCTGTTCGGCGTTGCAGACTTCCGATCGCGGCCTGGAGAAGGAGGAGGCAAGGAAACATGAGGGAACCAGCACTCCATTTGAAGACAGTGCCATGAGATAAGGATTGTGAGGTAAAGAGCTCGATGTTGGAGGCGTAGACAAAGGCAAATGTTCCCAGTTGCAGCCCCGCTTTTCAGCGTACCGGGAAAGGATGCTGCTATGGTAGGGTTGGTCAAACGCTTGGGATACCTTGGCGGCATTTGCCTGTTGTTGCTTAGCCTCCAGTTGAGCCATGTAAACATCCCACCACTTGTTGAGACGACGAGCTGTTCGTCCAGGCACCTCAGCGGCAATCTTCTTCCACTTGTTGCCGTACTTGGCTTGCAGCACAATCACCCGCTGTTTCTCGTCATCGCTTAATGGACCTTTCTTGAGGCCAGGGCGTAAGTAGTTCTTCCATCTCTGCTGGCAGGACTTGGCATCCCTTGCCAAAGGTTTGCCCATCCTCTCCTGGATAAGCCCCCAATCTTGGGGCCCGTATTGCTTCACGTACAACCGTAGAAGGTTGTCTTCTTCTGGCTGCCACCGTAACCTCTCCTTCATGGTCGCTAGCGCTTCTCTACGCAACGACGGACAGCAACCTGGGAAATCCAAGAGAGGCATGTTTGCAGCAAATGGCTAAGTTCCTGAAAAATGATAGAGGAGTCCAATTACGATAAAAATATATACCACACATTACAGCCATCCTGAACGAGACCAAGAAGAGAGGAATTGAGTTTCGGGTCAGGAAATCAGAGAGAATCATATGGGAGTTCCCTGTGCTAATTTATTCATCCTATCCCTTAAGCAGCATTGGCCGCGGGGGGGAGGTCCATGACGCGCTGCACGCCGGATTCGGGTCGAAGTTTTGGTGAGGGGCGGCGGATGAAGGCGATCGAGGGCGGGGGAGTGTGCAAAAGGGGTGTGCATACCGAAATGTTCACAGCGCGCCATTAAACGAGAGCGCGCGCCTCGGGGGCGGGGAACACGGCTGGCGTTAATTCAGACAAACATCTTGGAGGCGAGGCATCTGATATGTGGGCGACTTTTCTTTTTCTTTTTTTTTCCTTTTTTTCTTTTTTGCCCGGTTGGCCGTCGTTTTGTGTCCCTTTTCTCCTCTTTTCATTTCTCGCACCTGTCGTTTTGCGTCCCCCCTTTTTTTTTTTTTTTTTTTTTTTTTTTT